CAGCAGGCCCAGAGAGAGAAGCAAATACCTGCTGAGGGACCATTGGTTTGGGGTCGGCCTCCCAGTCCGCAGGGCCCAGCACCTGCCAGGCAAGGCTCTGTGTCCACCTGTTCAAAAAGTGCCTTTCCAGCCCTGGCGGTTGCACAGAACAGCGGGACACCAAGGCTTGGCAGACAGTGGAGGCTTGTGCCAGGCCTGGGCTGTGCCACAGAGTTAGCTGCCTTGCATGCCCCTGTCTGTGCTCACACCTGTGTAAGTGCCCCATTATGACAGTGTAGTAACACCTAGAACCAGGGTTAACCTATTGAGGCTGCTACAGCAGGAGTAGCGAGACTCTGTCAACCTAACAGTCATCCAGTAGCTAGTCCACTATGTCCCACCCTCTCCCTGCAATAGTGTCCACTCTGATCACAACTTTAAATTCCACTGCACAGGAGACACAGAGATCAAAGCCACCATCTGCCTATCTCAGTGGTGGGCAACCTGCAGCCCACAGGCCACATTTGGCCCACTGGGGTTACACTTCTGGCCTATGCAACTGTGGGAGAAAAATCAAATAACTCCAACTGTGTCTAAGGGGGGATTGTGCAGGAAATCAAAACTCTCTAAAAGAAAACTGCTGTAAGGGTTAAAAGTTTTCCAGGCCTCTCTCCCTGTAACAGAGAGAAATCATCTTAACTTTAATCAAGACCCTTACAATGCCTCCTATCTCAACTTCATGAAGACTCCTAGTCTGTCACAATTTGTCATGTAAACTCTTATCTTTGTCACAGTTTGCCTTGTAGCTCCTCACTCGGGTTATCATATGCTTTTGTACTGTAAAACTTACTTCTAGCACTTCTGGTGAGAACAGAGTACTTCTGCTGAGACTTTGATATGTTAAAGGAAATAATCAACAACTAAACTGTCTGAACATACTGTATAAAGGATCCCTGAAACTCTCAGGGCTGCTGCTACTCTCACTCCGGTAGCTGTCAGCCTGCATGCATGCATAATAAAGTTTTCCTTCTAGATTTCTCTCCTGCCTCACTGTTTTGACCTCCAGCCTCGACCCTTCTGGGGACTCTGTACCCCAGGGGAGCGAGATTTCCCCAACACAACCCATGTTTGCCCCTCTCCACACAAGTGCTTCTTGTGCACTGGGGCATTGGAGCCCCACATTTCTTTCTCCTCCCCCGCCCTCACAATACTTTTGGAATGCCACAAATCTTCTGATTTGTGCTCCATCACCACTTCTCCCACTTCCTCCCAGAGCTTGAACATGTGAAACAGCTGTTCAGTTGGATCACTTGATAATTATCTGTTCTGTTCATTCCCTCTGGGGAATGTGACACTGGCCACTGTCAGAAGATAGGATACTGGGCTAGATGGACCTTTGTTCTTAAAGATACGTGTAGACCTCCAGGATCCCAAAATAGCTAACCCGTGTCTTTTAAATGTGCCTATTTGAAAAAAATGAACACGCTATTCCAACATCCCTGTAACCCTCATTGCATGGATGTTTCAAAATAGCATGTTATTTTGAAATTTGGCACTGTGTAGACATGCCAAATTTCAAAATAAGGTACACAATTTTCATAGCGCAAATTGCATATCTTATTTCGAGTTCAGGGTGCTGTGTAGACGCACTCTAAGGCTACGTCTACATTGGCCCCTTTTCCGAAAGGGGCATGCTAATTTTACAGGTCGTAATAGGGAAATCCGCGGGGGATTTAAATATCCCCCGCGGCATTTAAATAAAAATGTCCGCCGCTTTTTTCCGGCTTTTAGAAAAGCCGGAAAAGAGCGTCTACACTGGCCCCGATCCTCCGGAAAAAAGCCCTTTTCCGGAGGATCTCTTATTCCTACTTCAAAGTTAGGGATACTAATAGGGAACTATTACGACCTGTAAAATTAGCATGCCCCTTTCGGAAAAGGGGCCAATGTAGACGTAGCCTAAATGTCCTGCAGCCACTGGTTACAATGTGATCCTTCCAGTCATTGCTCATTTCTTGGGCTTAGAAGTGGTGCTCTGACATTTGCAGCTACTCTATGAACCTCAGCATCAATCTAAAGTTGTTTTTCCACTGTTTCTTAGCTCATTGGTTCTCAACCTTTCCAGACTACCATACCTCTTTCAAGAGTCTGATTTTGTCTTGTGTGCCCCCTCACTTAAAAATTGCTTGCTTACAAAATCAGATATAAAAATGTAAGTGTCATAGCACACTGTTACTGAAAAATTGCTGACTTTCTCATTTTGTCTGTATGACATTTTAATTTGTACTGACTTTGCTAGTGCTTTTTATGTAACCTATTGTCAAAGGCAAATACCTTTGTGTCGATGTATCCCCGGGGTATATGTACCCCTGACTGAAAACCACTGTTTGGCAAACTGTCCTCAAAGAAATTATATATATTATACTTTCTGCAGGTCTGCAAATCCAAGAAAATAGTGCATCATATATTTGTAATGTGCATAAAAAGGGTGTAGGTTCCATGTTCTGTCAAAAATGGTAGATACCAAAAAAGTGTCACATGGATTTGTGGGTTTAAAAAAAAAAGGTGAAAATCATGGAATATGGATGGCATTATAGGATGGAGAAAGTTATGCGCTGGGAACATGACCTCTAGCTCCCAGAGGACCGTGGGTGAGTTGTTTCTATTCCACAGCGCATTGCAAACATTTCAACACAAGACATTGTGCCAGACAGATGTCCATGACACACCGCAAGATGTCCATGACCTTACCCATTGTGCCACTGAACTTTGTGTCAGCACAAGCACTCCAGGTGAATACATGCAGCATTTGACACAAGCAATCAAGTACACACCAGCACAAAGGATATACAAACTTTGTCAGTTGTATGCCAATGGAACTTGGGTCAGCCAAAGTTTGTAATGTAGACATGACCTCAAAAACAAGAAATCAAAGGAAAAGAATCCACAATATTTTAACAATCTCATCATTTTTAAGCCCGTCTTCTGACTGTTTGATGCCTGACTCATGATTTTTGAACACTTAGGGTTGGCAATATTGAGGATGCGGTGTAAAACCACAGAAACTGTCAGGAAGAGTAGGGGCAGCACTTAGAATTACTTTTACCTTAATGTTTTAAATTTGACTAGCTTTCAAGTTGATGGTTTGAACAACTGAAAATGGATATACAGATATGGACTCCGTCATGCACCTTACCCCTGCGCAAAACCCTGGGCAAATCAATGGGATTCTCCACAAGTGCAGAGGTCTGACCATTTAGATCAGATTGCAGAGTAATTAGATACAGAACATGGTTCTAATCCTGAGGACAATCAAACCACATTTTGATAACTTTAAAAGTATTAAATTACAGTAGATGACCTTGATGCTGCATATCATGCAGACAGATTTCTGGGGCCTGTATGAAGCCAGAATCACAGCAATATGGTTACTATGTACCTAGAACAATTATTGCAAACAGACCTGGAGACAGAAGCCACAGGGTGGGTGTGAAGTAGAGAGAAACAGAGATGCTAGGGAAGAAGGTCTCTGGGTACTAGAATATTATTCTTTACAGCACATGGAATTAAAACCAGAAGTCCTCAGTCTGTCCATTGCTCTGCTGTCAGCAAATATGAAACTCACTAGCAACATGGCTGTGTCTAGACTGGCAAGTTTTTCCACAAAAGCAGCTGCTTTTGCGGAATAACTTGCCAGCTGTCTACACTGGCTGCTTGAATTTCCGCAAGAACACTGACGATCTCATGTAAGAAATCAGTGCTTCTTGCGGAAATACTATGCTGCTCCTGTTTGGGCAAAAGTCCTTTTGCGCAAAGCTTTTGCACAAAAGGGCCAGTGTAGACAGCTCAGATTTGTTTTGCGCAAAAAAGCCCCGATCGCGAAAATGGCGATCGGGGCTTTTTTGCGGAAAAG